TGGGATTTGCCCTACAGTCGCTTGTCATTTTGTAAGTTGTCCCAAGGGGGACTGCCAGAGATGGAAGAAAGAATTTAGCCCTTTTATCTGGCATTTGATGCTACTTTCCTCAAACTAAGCCTTACAGGTTAGTGGGGAGCATGCTCCAGCTTCTGGGATCCCAAAACCTGTCTTGGTTTATGAATTCCCTGTAAAACTTGCCTCTACCCTTTCCATTTGAGGTGTTTTGCCCTGGTGAAACCAACGTTTCAATGCCTATCAGATTCCCCCAGGTCCATATGAGACGTGATGGAAGCTTGAAAGAAAGGCAGATTTTATTCTGGCAAAGCGAAGGGTCAAGGTTTTTAATTACAAATTTGAAAGCACCTTTACCTCAGGAAATATTAAAATTCAATTTAAAAACTGCCAAGTTAAGGTATGTCATAAGCTAATCTTCTCCCTTCTCATAGGTAGGATCTCTCTGAGGCTGTGCGTGGCTGCCTGTCTGACACAGAATCAGGCTGCTGCGCTCCAGATTCTAGGCCCTTGTACCCATTTCAGCTGTGTATGAAGTTGAGCAGGTACCATGCAAGTTACCACTGTACAAAATGCTGCTGTCAATGAAGAATTGGTTGTTTGAGTGTGACAAGTCAGGATGCCAAAATGATGTCAAAAAGCTTCTAGAAGCTCTTGTTCCAAGATCTCTCTCAGCAGTTTTAGGTGCAAATTTCCTAGGCTCAAGCATGGGCTGTACCTGGCCCAGTTAAGTCTGCAGAGGGCTGTGCTGTGGGGAAGGAGGATAATGAGGGAGAAGGGTGATCAGCCTGCAGTCCCTTTCCCTTTGTCCTTGCTGCTGGGAGAAGAGACTATATGGAGATGGGGTTGCCCCGGAAGAGGGTAATTTGAAGTTACTTTGAAGTCCCCTGGTGTGGTAAAATTCATTATTTGTAATGCTGTTGGGAAACCTTAAGGTAACAATCTTTCTTGCTGTATTTTTTTCATATACTTTCTTGTTGTGGCTCACTTAGCACTTTTCTAAGAACATGGCCAGGTTCCTGTTTCCAGAGACACTCCTCTGGAGCTGGAGTACTGACAGCCTCTGTGCTATGCTAGCTTGCCTTCCCACATGGGATAGAAACTGATTTCTGTCTTCCCAAACATTACAGTTTGCCTCTTTTGTGGCTGTGCAGTACCTCACATATTATTACGTCGTGCAGGAAGTACCAGGTGTGTGTCCTTCAGGAGGACAGCAAAATCCCTTGTGGGAAAACGGCGGCCTGGCTACATATGACTTTTTCCCACAGCTGATCCAGATGAACAGGCTGATATATTCCTGCCTGGGGAGATGCCACAGTAGTCTAGACCTATTCCTTATTGCCTTCTTCATTCCCGTGGTCTGATAAAACTGTCATCCCCTTGATGTTCTCTAGTTCTTTGTAGATCAGGGCCTTTTTAAAGCCCTGTCTCATTTCTGTATTGTATTAGTGGCACAAGGGGCCTTTGCCACCCTCAAGGGTATGTTGTTCTGCAGAAGGGGAGAAGCAGTATGAAGTAAGTGCAAAGAAGACATACCCATCTTCCTCTGTAAGTTCTTAAGGGATCCACAGCGTGCCCTCTTGTATTAGCCTGGCATCAAGGCACTTTTGTTAATTGCATTACCCTCTCTACCTGTATCAACAAGGGAGCAAACATGGTCAAGTTCAGGAAGGAAAAAGCAAGAAGGCAAATAAACACGCGTGGAGAATAATTCCTCATGTGCTCATAAGAGGCTCCTCTTGCACTGTCAATTCCACTGCAAACAGCAAGCAACTGTGGCAAGGATTTGCTGCACCAAGTTTAGTGCTGCGCCCTCATTTCCTGCCTTAACTATCACTGTACTTGTTTCTATCTTGAATTTGCAAGTGATACTACCTGGGGTGTCGGTGAGGTTGGTCACCAGAAGCAAGGCAAAAACATCTTTCTCTTATTATTTTTCTTTGCAAGCTATTGGATTAGTACAGCTTCTGAGATGGAGGAAAAAAGGAGGACTGAACTAAGGCTTTTACTATAAAATAGAGATGTGATCTCTAGATAACAAGAAACCGTCTCCTTGCACAAGAAAAGCTCCAGCTTCAGCTATAGAGGATATAAAGTATGGCTTCTATCTTTCTTTGCTTAAAGAAGGGAAAGATTGCTCAGAGGTTAAGGAGCAAAAGAGATAAGACATTTATATATCTCAGTGGCAATGTGATGTATCTAGGAACAAGGTCCTATGCAGCTATCAGAAATGCAGGCTTAAGAGAAAAAGTGTATGGCCAAGCCCCCTCCACAGAAAACTGTTCCTCTAAGAAGCTGTTTATCATTGTAGTGTGCTCTGTAGGGATCTGACATGTCTCTCTCTCACATTTATTAACAGGAAGCCCTTTCCAACTGAAAGTCCTTTGCAAAATGCCAAACAGGGCTTTGCATTAGCTGAGCTCTGTCAATTGTTCTTCCCTTTTTTTTCTGTGCCCTGACTCTTAAGACATTTCGCCATAAATAAGAGCAGAGAGACTTTGACTGCTGATGGCAAGCTGTCAAAATATGAATGGGACGTTCTTCAAATGTACTGTGAATAAAAATTCTTATCCCTCCTTTTCTAGCAATGACTATGGAGAGCCCAAATTTTAGCTAAAAGTTGGGGTGTATAGCTTTATGTCAGATTTTTGCCATTTGGATAATGTTTTCCATATACTTTGCAAGATTTACACCCTCCGTTTTCCTCTCTCATTCTCCTGTGATATATGTATGGGTAGCAATACGAGATGATGGTGTCTCAAAACATTTTGTTGGTCTTAAAGACCAGCTCCGTTTTACAGTGATTTTCCCCATACTGTAAAGGGAGTCTGTCCAAGCAGTAAGACTAGAACTGAAGAAATCCTTACCCTGGAAAATATCGGACTAGACTGTCCATCTCTTGGCCAATTGTTTTTGGGGGAGAAAATTGCTATAAATAAAACGGGCCTTCAAGTGCGAGATGATCTGTGCATGGTAGCCATAGGTGATGACCACTAGATGGTGCTGAGCATTAGACTCTCAAAAATATCCAGGTATCTTTTTTTCTCTGCCCTGTAAATGGGCATTAGGATTTTCACACCGCTGGGCTTTGGCCCTAGTAGCACCATACACTCCAATTTGGCTCCACTGCTTTGGAGGTTTCCACTTTGTAGTGAAATACTGACTGGTGCTTCCTACCAGCAGTGTAGCAGCTTTGGACAAAGAGGTCAGGAGGTGGGGTAAGTACAGGTGGGTGTAAGAGCTGGCATCTCGCACCAAGCTCTTTTTTCTTTTTTTTTCTTAAAGGGGGAGGGGTGGTATCTTTATTTCACTTGGTTGGAATAATCACCAGTTAAAAATAGAAAAACTTACCCCTAGCCAGCTTCTTTTGGTTGGAGGTATTTCACT